GGCCTGTGCTGCTGCTTTGCTGGTGTCTGTACACCTCGCCAGGTCCGAGGACATCCAAGTGATGCACCTGGATGTGCCAGCACACTGCTCCAAAAGGTCTCCGGTCTTCTGCTCCCCTCCTCTTGCCCATACTGAGCATGCACCATGGCCGAGCCGTGCCAGCACAGCTCGAGGCTGCCCTGCTGCCCGTCCAGGTGATGGGAGCAGGTGAAAGGACCGGAGCTTCATGCCCAACCCTTGACAGCCTCTGCACGGTGCCTGCTTTCCTGTGTGCCATCGGCTGTAGCCTACCTTCTCCCACTCCCTAAGCAGGGGAACGTCTTCTCTTGCAGCTCACAGCCGTTGGCAGAAAGAGATGATAAATGTCCAGCATCTCCCATTTCCAGGGCACCACGGGCACCCTCTTACAGCCACAGCCCCCTGCCTGTCCACCTTTGCTTACTCAACCCCTCACTGCCCTCAGCAAAGAGTGCCGACTCGTGCTGCTGGACCTATTTGCTCTGTAAATTTGGCTTGTCCGAGGTCTGTGTGACCTTGGGGGAGGTCCCACAGCGTTCCAGGACTGTGGGATTCTGGTCTGGACAGCGTGTGGGGTATGGGTAGCCACCTCCATGCATCCCCAATCCCCACAGTGCTCCACCTGCCTTGGGACCAGTCCACTGAACATTAAGCTAACGTTGTCTGGGAACCCGCTCATCCTCTTGGAAGAAAACAAAGCCACTGTCCAGCTTGCGGTGATGATTCAGGTGTTCATCCAGGGTTCAGATGGGCTCATCCTCAACCTCCTGCTGTTGCAGGCCGTAAGTGTGCATGTGAAGACCTCAAACAGGTGAAGCGTGCAGCCAGCCAAGTGACTGGCAGCCGGGATGGGGACATTTCCACAGGCTCATCCTCTCCCTCTCTGCTTGCAGAACCTCAATCTAGACGTTGGCGTGTCGATTGCTGGAGGCAGACTGGTGCTGGGCTTGTCCCTGGGCAGGTAGGCTCTCCCTGCAGCAGGGGTGATGGGTGCAGACCCTGCTGCACCCCCAGTCCCTTCGCTCCCCTGGGACAGCCCTGGCTCTTCAGCCATACCGGGAAACTCCGGCTGTCCCTGAGCTCAGGGTACAGGTTTAGTTTTTTGGGGAGCAGTGGCCAGCAGAGAGCGGGGCCACAGGAGGGGCTGCAACGCATCAGGGACGCTCCTGAGAGTTTCACAGCTGGCTGACAGCGCAAGGTGGACAGGTATTGGTGACGTTCAGGAGACACTGCAGCAGTGGGACAGTTCCAGGAGACTGGAGGAACAGTCCATGTCAGTTTGATATCAAGGAGAAGCGAGGTAACCTGAATAATTGCAAGACTGTCAGCTTGACTTGGATGCTGGGCATTAGGCTGAAGTGTCTGACATTGGACATGAGTGACACAGGAGCAAAGGGAAGTACTGCCGTTAAGGCCAGTCGAGGTGTGATTAAAGATTGGAAAGCATTTCTAACGGTGAGAGGTTTGAGGATTTCAAGCCATTCAGCTTGTCAAAGAGCTAGATTTAGAAGCAGCACTGGCATATCTTGTATGCGGCGATATAGAGAATAGAAATGCATCAGAGAGCTTTTAATTCAACAGACAAAGATATAACCAGATTCCGCAGAAGTAGAAAAGAGAAATTCAAAGTGGAAATAAAGCATACATGTTAGCTACCGAGAGAGTTGTGCGACTGCAATGACAGATTAGGAGCTGCAGCGCGTTCTCCAGAGCTCGTGATCTTTACATCTGGGCTGGATGATTTTTCTAGAAGCTCTGCTCTCAGCTAGGCGGGAGCTGACTCCTTTCCCAAGATGGATAAATACCCGGGCACAGGAGAGGGAAGGGGAAGCCAGGAGCTAGCATGTACCCCGTTGCAGTGCTGCTTCATCGACAAGCAAATAAAAATTAGGTTAAGCTTTTATTTTCCTATTTTTTTTCCCCTATTGCAAGCGTGGCAGTGCCTGCTGCTCGTGTTACAGTGCAGTGATCCCTGTACGGATGCCCTGGTGATGCCCCACCGGGATCCCACGCGCTGGGAGGTGGCAGGGGTCTCATGGCAGTGGTCTCTGAGCTCTGCCGGGTGCCTCGGCCTCTGACGTGCCGTTTGCTTTCCTTTCCCTGCAGCATTTCCCTCTCCCTGGAGTCTTCCGACGTTGGCATCAGTGATGTAAGTCTCTGGTAGCAGCCCAGGGTTTGCTGGGCGCGCAGAGCGGCCGAGTGCCGTGCCCGGCGGCTCTGGGGACGGAGGGAGACGCGGTCGCCGCGTGATGCTGTGACGTGTCCTGGCTGTGAAGGATTGCGTCTGCTGGTGGCCTCAGTTGTCACCTGCTCTGCTTTGCAGGACATAGCAATTCCTCTTTTCCTGCCTTTTTTTTTCCTTCTGCCTGTTCTGGTGATGCAAAGGTAAAGCCTCAAGTCTGTTTGTTTATTCACCCTGGCTCGGGCAAAGCTTACACGGAGCTCCAGCAGGAGTTTTACCTGGTAGAAGGTTTCCCAAAGGAAGCAGCAAATGAAAATCAAGGAGGAAAAGTAGATTTGCTTTAAAGAAAAGACCAGCAGAGGTGCTGGGCTGTGCTGGCTGCGGTCCTGTGCCCGGCAGCGCCGCTCACGCCTTTGTTCCTTCTCTGGTTCAGATCTCGACCTTGAAGCCGCACATCAGCAGTCTGGTGGTGGAGTTGTTGCTGCCCCTTCTCAACGGTACGGTGACCGGTGACCGGTGACCGGGCGGCTGTAACGTCGGGGTGCTTCGACTGAGGAAGGGAGGGGGATGGGTCTGCCTGACTGAAAGCGGGAGAGCTGGAGCAATTAGAGGGTCTGCAGTCCCAGTTTTGAGGCTGTAGTTGAAAGTCTCATCCTTATTCTTACACCATCCACCCCAGCTTCGGTCCTAGGGGCCCTGGAAATGGTTAGGGCCAGAGAATGTGAGGAAAGCCAAACCGCATCGTGCGTGGCGGTGCTGCGGTCGCCTGTGCCCCCGGAGCAGCGCTGCTCCCTTCGCCCTCCCCGCGAGCAGCTTTAGCGTGGGGTGGGAGCTGGGCTCGCCCCTCCGGCAGTGGGTAAGGACCTTTCTGTCCCCTGCAGCTGCTCTGGGCATCGGCATCCCTCTGCCAAACGTGCTGGGCATCCCCTTACTGAAGGTGCATGTCCGGATACTAGGGGTAAGTGTTCGGAAAGGCGATCTCCTCCCGCGATGCCTCTAGGTCCCTGGGGCAGTTCCTGGCAGCTTGCTCCTGCAGCAGGACCCTGCCAGCGGCGGTTTCACGTGCAAGAGCCATAGATTTTAAGCCTTGGAAGGCCAGAAAGGGTTGCTCTATCTGACCTCCCTCGGGTACAGACAACGCTGCCGAGTGTGCCCACCAGTGTTACCAAGCCAGGTGCGGAACGAGCAGTGTTCAGCCCCTCTGGGGTGGTCGCAGCTCCCCCGTCCAGGCTGCCTCTCTCTGCTGGGGAGCTCTGTGAGAGCAGCTCTGGTGTGGGGCCAAGGGGTCTGGCAAGCCCGTTCGAGTGGCATCGTTCAGTGTCTTGAATTGCACCGAACCCCAGCCCTGTGCATCCCGGAGACGTCCCAGGGGAGCTGGGGCGTTCTCCGACGCTCCCCGAGGGCTGCTGTGCCCTCCCTGTTACGAATCTGGCGCGAGGGTGTTTGCCGGAGGGTTTCTGCTCGCTGTGCGTTGCTGCCGAGCTGCTGCGAACCAGGACCCCTCGAAGGCGGGCAGTAACGTGGCTGCGTCGCTCCTTGCGCTTCTCCAGGGCCTGCTGGCGATTCTCGTGTGAGCTGGGGAGCGCGGGGAGGTCTCTCAGGGCAGAGGAGGAGGAAGAAAGATCAGCGAGGATGGAGCATCCAGACCGGCATTATCTACTTTTCTTTTCTGAACTTGATTCAAGATTCCTGGTAACATTGAAGAGACTTTAAAGTTAATTGGCACATGTGAGTACTGAGATGCTTGCATAAGCCAAAACCCGACGGGCAGCTCTGTGTACAAATATTTATTCAGAGAAATTAGCAGGATTTGGGGATCACCGTTATAGCAGTTGCAAGTGATGCTGCAGCGGAATTGTTAAATTCATTCTGAGGGAAAATTGTTCTTGATATGATGAAAAAGTGAACTTGTTTCTAAGGAAACATCACCATCCACGCTGGGAGGGGTATGAAGTGCCGAGCGGGAGCTCAGGGCACATTCATCATGTAACTCTTTTAATAAACATTCCTACTTTTTTTAGTGCTTGGAATGAGGTTCTGGTTTCTGATCCTTCTCAGGGAGAGGACCTGTCCTGCCTCCTGCTATGGGATCTGGTTCCTTTGTGACAACCGATATTCTGGTTTTCAATTTGAAAACTTTCTCCACTCAAACTTCCTGAGTTAAAAACACTTGGATATCCAGTGGCTACTCCTGGCGAGGGTAACCCGCTGACCAGCTGCTAATCCCCAGGCAGAAGTCAGTGACATCGCCTTTCCAAAGGTCATGAAGCAGTTCCTAGTAGAATCTGAAGGGAGAACACCGGAGCACAACCCTCTGCCTGCAACAGCCCACGGCTGCTCAGACGGGCGTGCAGTCCGCTGGGCTCTGGATGTCCCAGGGAAAAGAATTCAGGCTTTTTTGATTTCAGAAAAACAAACGATTCAGGCTGGAAAATAAATAAATCTGAGGTCTTAAATGGCCTTTCAGACACCTGCCTCTCCCAGCACTAGACGCTGTTACTGGTGCGTTATTCAGTGCTGGCGTCCCCAGGCTGGTGGTGGCATGTCACTGCTAAAGCAGGGGTGACATGCAGCAGCAGCCCAGCACCGGGCAGGTAGCGGGCAGGGCAATACCCTCTGCTGCATTCCAGCCTGAAGGTAGGAATGGTTCGATATCTGCCGGGCCAAAGCCCTGGGCTGCTGCATTCATTTCCAGCATCACCGTGAGACGCTGCAGAGGAATCACCGAGCAGAGCGGAGGATGCGCTGGACCCACGGGCAGTCCCAGTTCACCCAAACCGCCCGGAGCTCTCCCGTGCTGTGCCAGACGGCAAACCTGGCGTTGGGCACTGTCACCCCGCGGGCTGGCATGTCTTGTGTCGCGGCAGGAGGGGTCTGGGTGGGTTGAAGCACCCGGTAACGCTGCAGACTGGTGTTTCGGCGAGTCCAAAGAGCTCCTTTGGTTCCCAGCCCCGTGCAGGCTGACGGTGCCGGTGGGACCGTGCTCTCCAGAGGCCGTTCAGCTGCTGGTAACACAGTCCTTGCCCTGCTCTGGGCAGAAACGATGCTCTCAGCTGGTGACGGGGCTCCCCGCTTGAGCAGCGTGCTGCGGGCAGACCCAGCACCAGCAGAGCCACGCGGGTGAGGAGTCTCTGCGATGCGAGGGGTGAACAAGAGGAACGCCGCGGACTGTCGGGAACTTCAGAGCCCGCGGCTCCAGCTCTCTGATGCCGGTACGGCCACGGCACTGGCAGAGCGGGGTTTCGGGGAGCTCTGTGGCCCGGTGGGCAGGACACACAGCCCCGGTGACCGGCACTGGCAGGGGCCCGGCC